TAAATATGGTAAAAATTGCAAGTCAAAATCTGCTTTGGTTTGTATGATACGAATTTTTCAAGGAGCGAGTGCAGTTGGGTAAAAACTGCGTTGGTAGGAACGCCACTGGCAAAACGTTATCCAGCCGTTTCACAACTATCAGTAAAAAAATGTTGCTTTCTCAAATTGTTATCTAGAGACATTTTCAAATCATTCAATTTTCACTTTTTGCCATTCAAAACCAACATTGTGCAGTTTCAGAGTTTTCCATTTGGAAGAATAGGTATGCGCATATTTTGTGCATGAAGCAGCTAAACATGGAAATTTCAAACTTCGGACGTATCCAATTAATGTCGCTGATAACGAGAACATAAATAGAACAGCATTAGTAAAGTGATAAGCACATTCGAATCATCACTATTGTGTTCACTGGAATGATTCGTGACTGGCTTAACGTTATTTATGATTGTCGATAAATGTTTATTGCTGCACGTCTTTGAACAGTTCATCGATTTTGGGCCCGTGCTTTTATTAATACAATTTATGGGTGATTTTACCGAAATTTTCGTCTCATCCAACCTATCAGGCAAATAACGTTTTCATTGCAAGGATTTTGGCCGAATTATTTGAAAGCAACCAGCAGCGTTTTGCAATAAATTAAGGAAAACTCCTTCAATCGAAACATTCCGTCGTAATTCCATCAGGCCTGTTCGAGCCGATTTGAAATAACAATAATTTTCCCGTAATATATGCGAAAAACCATCTAATAAAGCACTGCAGGCAACAGTTTACCTAGATTTAAAAAAAGTAAAAGTCGAAAAATCCTTGAGTTCCGAGTAAATAATGAACGGGGTTTGTTTTATTGTCGGTGCCCATATTTACACTCCAATTAAGCAGAAAAAATACGGAGCTCTTTAAACGGTTTGCACCCGGTAAATTAGAAACATGTTATGCATGCAAACAGGTCGTTTATCTGGTTCTGATCGTTCCTAAGCTGACGTTGTTATGATTAGCATTTTGCCGCTTTCTAAAAATACATTTTTAAACAATCAGTCAAGTAGATGAGCTCCGGAGAAGCTGGCAAATGGCCAACAAAAGTTACGATTAATCAGAATCATTTTAGATCGGTTTAGACCTAAAACAGTTTGGTTTTGCCTACCATTGAGGCCTCAAAGGATTAATGAAGAAACACGATGTTTTAAAACTCGGAGATAAACGACCGGAGAATATTTTTATCTGTATTGTTAATACCCGAGTTTTATGACGAGTTTATAAATAAACCAGTATCAGAAGTGTAGTATTATTATTTCTAATAGTTGCTAAGTCGAACTGCCGATTTCGTCAAGGTCAGAAATACCACTTTTTGTCTGCATACATTTTCAATTCCTCAACATTATAGAACTTATCTACATTTTCAATATTTAAATACAGTTTATTGTAAGCGACTGTACGTTGATGGGCATGAAAATATCAATATCGGTGTTTTGAATATTGTGTGATATTTGTTTTTATTCATATATCCCTGAAGGTGAAGCAACTCGTGCGAAACGTTAGGAAGGTACGGCATTTTTTTCCTAATAGTTGCGAGTTTCTCGAAAAATTGCGATCGAACACTGGAAACAAATAGACACTTGATGCCGAGTTAATAGAGAAATTATTGCTCTACAAGTGCAGATAATTTCATACAAATCGCACCGCTTTTCGACCATAATGTGTCACGCTGATTTAAAAAAATATTATTCAAAATGCAAAATTGTCAGAAAACAGCACCATCGAATAGAAAAGGATTTCCACTATTTGTGTGGCGATTTCCCCCTGTTTCTGGAATTTTTGGAGATTTTTTTAACCTGTCTGCGACGTTGCTTAAACGTCGCGCATTTTTTAAAAATTTGCCATCTAGAACTGTAAGCAGATTAGCGCCATTTAATGGAGAAAATGTTGCTCTGCAACTGTGAAAAATCACATATTTTTTGCATTTCTGGTCTATTTTTGGCGGATTTTTTTGCACCACTTTTCGACTATGACGTGGCACGAAGTTTTCAAAAACTCATTATACAAAATGCAAAAAACACTGAGAGCAGCCTAAAAGCGAGAACTAACAAAACAAATTGTACAGCAAACAGTTCAGTGTTTCGGAAACGAACGTTTGCCTGATGTTTCGGAAGCACGAGTAGCTTGCATCCTCAGGGCCCGAAAACGACGAGATTTTCTCAAACAATAGAGTGGAACCTACTTGAAGCAAAGGCCGTTCAAGTGTTTAAGTGAGCGTAGGTCGTCCGTCATCAAGCATTCCGAATGTTTTCATTAACACTGTTTTGCATGAATAGTCACTGAACATTATCACGAAACTTATTAAAAATGCGCTATTTGTCTGCCCAATTCGCACCTGACACTCCACTAATTAGATCAAAGCGTGTTATTATTGGCGCTTGGGTGATAACCGACTTTATCAAATTCAAGTGACTTTAATCAAAATCAGTGGAAAAAGCTTCAATAAACAATACATTAGTTGCCGTTAAATCGCTTAGGTGGACGGGACACCTTGTGCAAACCCACCGGAGTTTCATAGACTTTTTATACCTACTTATGTGCAGCTTTTGTTCTTTGAGAACTACCCAGGTACTTTTTTGCTTATATAAATTCATTACAATTGCAAATTACATTTTGCGCGATTTTACCTACAAATGCGTCTGTTGTAGGTCGTCATGCTCATACTCGTTAATTTCTCGCTCTTTATTGGCTGTATGTATTTTTCAGTACAGTTTGAACATAGAATCTCGTGTAAACCCTGCATAAAGGAAGAGCAATAAGTAAACGAAAACAGCCAAAAAATGTTTTGCTCAAATGTTAGCTGAATAGTCTTTTTCATTTCTAACAAAGCGTCTTCGCAACCAAGCAACCTTTCATCAATTTTTTGAATAAGAAAATTGCAATCATTTCTTTTCAGTGAAATTTGAATTTAAACAAAGGGCCAAAGTGCTTGATGATCACAATCCATGACTCATTTGTGGGTAAAAACCAACACGTTGGCGCTTTTGATCCACTCTTAAGAACAGACAAAATCGAGCCAGTTCGTTTCTGCTACATGCAACTGTTTGATGTACTAACCAATGGCGTTATTTTCCATTGGTCGAGTTAATTGGACCAAAAAGTATGTCTTTTACCCAAAGCAAACACTATAAACCTGAGCGATGAACGTTGATGGGCAACGCGCCAATCAGGCCAGAGCGCAAAAGAATTGTGGTTCCTAAAAATAATACTGAACCTGTTGACAAATAGTCGCATGTTAGTATAAAGCGGTCGCATTGATTGGACACATCGTGAATGTCTCTATCTGTTTGGCGAATTTTAGATTCGCGTTTGATCTTTCCGACACGCGCTAACGCTTTAAGAGCGTTGGAAAAACGAAGATTCTGGCCAACGACTCCTTTATCTCATGATTGATGGTGAGTGCAACAACGTATTTTCTCAAAGTTTGGATGTCGACTCATCAAACCGATGGTTTGGGATCATGGAAGAGTTGATTCACTGATCAATCGGTGTTGAATTATTCAAAGTAGGCTTGGGTTATACTGTGTCTTAACACACTTGTGTGTTGATGCCGCTCTGTGTGCCGCGACACTTGGTCTCTTACTGGCACCATAGAACAAGGCTTATATAGAAACGACTCTTACTCTTCTAGAAAGTGTGTCGCTAAAGTGGCGCGCCCTGGTGGCTGGGAATTAAAGAATTCAAACAAACCTGCATTATAAACCCACTCCACTTGCTTATTTTTAATTGTGTCGCAAGGGGCAGCTGATAATAGGGATAAATGACACAACTACACAAAAATACATATAAATATATATATTACTTGTTGTTTATTGTTTATATAAATACTTTTTACAGATAAAAAAAATCTGGAGCATTTTTAGGAACAACTTTAAAACATACGCCTTTTGTGATAGGAAGCCGTGCATTTTCTAACAGCCTTCAAGACACCAATAAACAGCTACCATCTTCGCAGATTATTGACGATTTATGAAAACAGATAAGGAAAAAGATAATCTGAAAATATGAAAATATCATTATTCCTTTTGAACAGAGGTTTCTGTTTAAATATTAATCTGCAATTCTATATAATACAGAGGTGTTAAGTACCGGTTTCAGCGGTGAGCAGCCCGATGCTATGAACTAGCTCTAATGAGAAAAATATCCTGTTTTCCATTTATTTGTTTCTTGATGAAAATGCCATCTGAATAATAAGCTAAGTGATTTCGACTTACCGAACAAAATATTCACAAATTACGTATTGCAGAACATGGAAAAACATATCACAATTCAGTGTATGCAGGAAGCATGAGGCACGAAACCATACAACTTATCACAGATTATATCGTCAGAAATGAATAAAATCGGCTTTTTCTTTGGATGATAGCGAATAATCAACATCGACAGACGTCTTGTCCATGACAAACCCATAAACAACAATGGGGAAGATTTATTTGACATTTGACTTGCGTTATCGCATTCATCCACAGAATATTTTCCTACAGTGGGTTATTTTATGATTTAATCTGTAGCTCTTTATGGTCTGTAGCGCCTCTGGCGACTATGAAATCAGTCGTTCTCGGTTAGGTTTTTAAGTGAGAGTGTCCAGAGCATGACTGGCACTTTGAACAGCCTTAACCTTTAATCTAATTCAATTAATTCACGCGCAGTTGCCATATGGTTTCTGACCCTCTCGGCAGGGATTATTTACGTTATGAAGCCGCACGAACGAAAGTGCTCAAAATACTTGTCTCCTGATTACTAATTCCACTGAGAACATTTTTATTTTTTCAAAAAATTGACCCTTACCCTTGGAAAAATTTCGGCCAAAAATCACAATTTCACATGCGTGTTTTTTGAGCTCAATCGATTCCTATCGATGTAAGAATGTGGCAAATAGGAATTTATGAAGTTTTTGGTCCAACAATAAGGAAGAAACCGTCGGCTTAAGATCGCGAACGCTCGAAAAACTGATCTGAAACTTCCAACAAGTTTCTCTGAGCTGAAAATCATGTATAATTTAATAGATTTTCTGTTTTTATTTCCCAAACCAAAGTTGATGCAGTGACATTTCACATATGAACAGATAATCTTTGTGGCTGTAGATGGAAACTTGATCCCCATTTCGACAAAAAATTACACTTCAAAGGAGTTGATGTTCTTTTCTTTGCAGATTGCTAGCCGCTTGGCCGCCTGATCGCGCAGACTTTTGGCTATTTCTCGGCTGACTGGTACGAGTGACTCGTACCGTTCAATTGGTACCTGCGGGTTCACCACGCCGTCCTTAAGGAGCGTATATGCGCGTGTGTTTCGGGACTCTTTGCTTCTCGTCGAGACTCAACACGGCGTCCGACGAGGAAGCGATCCATCAGGTTGTGATTTCCAGTGGCGGAGGCGGGACTTCTTTAGACAGTGGCGCAGTCCGAGCTGGACTAGTGAATGAACTAGAAAACGAAACTATGGCCGAGGGCGGCTCTTGTGGGGCGCCCATGGGTGGGACTGAGGAGCTACTTAGGTGAGTGGCAATTTCAATTGAGGAAGCCCCTTTTTCTATGTAATCCGGGCTTAATTTTTGGAATTTCATTGGAGTGTTTTTTCGCAGACTTGTCGCTGAACGAGACGAAGAAATTCGGAGACTTCAAGCGGAGTTGGCTCTAAGGAATCGCGAGATTTTCGAGCTGCGTTCTCAACTGGATAAGTTCCAGTCGGTAATGGCCATCACACACAGTCATCCAGCTAGCCCTAAAGGGCTGGGCGGTCAGCTGCGGCCCCGCAAGCAAAGGGCTGGCATTTCGGCCGAACCTCAGAACGAGAAAAGCATCTTGGAGATGAGCAGCACCACCTTCCCCACCATTTACAAAGACGAAAGGTAAGCAGAAATGTTCAATATTACTGACTAAAGGCACAATAAGCAGTCAAAGAAACAGCCCGTATGAGCGTAAATGTCCATAGAAAACAAGCATTTCTGATAATTCGGATTGATGGTAATTCAATATTGAAGCAGTCGATTTGTGAACGATTTATTGCGACTGGGGACGACAGCTGATGGCATTAAAACGGAATAATCTGAAGTAAAACAAGCTCGCCGTGTATTAGAAACGTGTTTTTTGCCTATAGATTGGCTGCAGGATTTTTTCGGAATCTGCGCTAACTTCACTTTTGAATGATCAATGTTAAAATTAAAATAACTGATCAGTGAAGGGTTTTTTTAAGCAGAAAAACTATTTCCTTTTCTTGAAAATTACAAATGAAAATATACGCAATGCAGATGAAACTGCAGATCAGATTTGTCCTGCAAACGTTATGCAAAACTGACTACGGTCTGCTCAAATATTTGCACTTATATAATAATACCAAAAATTGACGTGATTCCAAGTACGCAGTAAAAGTTTGGGTAATTTTTCTCCTAAGCAAGTTTCTTCAGGCAGGAATTTGTGAAATTGAACAAAAATGCGATCGAAAACTGTAAACAGATACACTCGGTATTAACGCCATGAAATAGAGAAATTATTGCTCTACAAGTGCGGAAATTTGTTTATTTTTGCATTTTTGGCGGCTTTTTCCATACAAGTCGCACTTTTTAGCTATGAARTGTCACAATATTTTCAAAAATTTGCTATTCAAAAGTCAAAATAGTCTGMAAATTGGAATTAGCACTATTRAATAGAGAAAACTTTGKACTATTTGTGTCGCAACGTTCAAAGTTTGGACTTCTTTACRGAATTTTTGGAAGTTTTTTYAACGCGCGATTCTGCGAGTTTAATTAATTACGGCGAGTTTTTCAAACAGTTGCGATCGAAAACTGGAAACAGATAGAAACTCGGTATTACGCTCATTCAATAGAGATTGCCTTGCAATTGTGGAAATTGCAGATTTTTTAAATTTTCGTTAATTTTCGGCAGATTTTTTCATTCAAGTCGCACCACAGTTCAACTATGAAGTGCGACAATATTTATAAAAAATTGTTATTCAAAATTTAAAACAGACTGAAAACTGGAATTTGCACTATTGAATAGAGGAACCTTTATACTATTTATGTTGCAACTTTCAAAGTTTCAACTTTTTAATGGAATTTTTGAAAATTTTCCAAACGCGCGATTCTGCGAGTTTAATTAAATACGGCGAGTTTTTCAAAAATTTGCGATCGAAAACGGGAAACAGATAGTATTATCAGATCGGTATTACACTCATTTAATCTATTAAATTGCAGATTTTTTAAATTTTTGTTAATTTTCGGCAGATTTTTCATTCAAGTCGCACCACAGTTCAACTATGAAGTGCGACAATATTTAGAAAAAATTGTTATTCAAAATTTAAAACAGACTGAAAACTGGAATTTGCACTATTGAATAGAGGAACCTTTGTACTATTTATGTTGCAACTTTCAAAGTTTCAACTTTTTAATGGAATTTTTTAAAATTTTCCCAACGCGCGATTCTGCGAGTTTAATTAAATACGGCGAATTTTTCAAAAATTTGCGATCGAAAACGGGAAACAGATAGTATTATCAGATCGGTATTACACTCATTTAATAGAGATTGCTTTGCAATTGTGAAAATTGCAGATTTTTTGCATTTTTGTTCATTTTCGGCAGATTTTTTCATTCAATTCAACCACAGTTCAACTATGAAGTGCGACAATATTTAAACAAATTGTTATTCAAAATTTAAAATAGACTAAATAGTGGAATTTGCACTGTTGAATAGAGAAAACTTTGTACTATTTGTGTAGCAACTTTCAAAGTTTTCACTTTTTTTATCGAATTTCTGGCAATTTTTTCATCGCGCGAGTTTGCTTGCTCAATTAATTATAACAATTGTCGCAGCTTTTTTTTATTACAGTCACACACTTTCACAATCACTTTACCGCTATTCAGTGTGACAATTTGTTGAAAAATTTGTTATTCAAAATGCAAAATAGACTGAAAACTGGAATTAGAACTATTGAATAGAGGAAACTTTGTACTGTTTGTGTAGCAACTTTCAACATTTCCACTTCTTTATGCATTTTTTGAAAAAAATCTCCAACTCGCGAGTGTGGTTTTAATTAATCGTCGCAAGTTTTTCAAAAAATTGCTTAAAATTGTAAAATCTAGACTTCACTGAAACTTGCTAGGGATTTGTTTTTTCGATTGCGATTCGAGCATTGGCTGATATTCTCATGAAGTTTCTGAGTCCACTCGCTTTGTTTCATAATAATCGCTCCACAGCCTGAGTTTTACCAGCTTTGAAGCTATCGGTCTTTTTTAAGTGCTTCTACTCAACTCCCATCTTGCCTTTAAAAATGCACGTCTTGCAAAGTATGCAAATGTTCGCCATCTTCAACAGATGCTGCCGAAACTTGATAAGAAACAATAGCTGAATCGGAAAAAATGAACAGTTAAAGTGAGAGCAAATCCTGTGACCAATAGAAACTCCATCCCTGGTTGCCTGGGGCTCGAGCTTAAGGGTACAAAGGTTCAGAACTTATGCACCTTTAGTAGTTTTCATGATGAAGTTTTTTTCAAATAAACATTTTCAGGTTTTTCTGCGAAAATGTTTCGATCAAATGCCGATAATGTAAGTGCAACTGTATGGCGCGCCATCGTTTAAGGTTCATCCTGCAACCGAAATGAATGCTTATGCGATGAAGCAATATTTAAACTTGCTTGATGGACCTGTTTTGCCAGCGTGATGAGGTGGTTTTCTGATAATAAACATTTTAGCCGAGTAGTTTTATAGTGTTTATGTCGCTGTGAAATCTGTTTATTGTGAAGTAACGGTTGAGAAAGGGCAGTTTGGGAAACCGGAATAGATCAAAATCCATCGCAGACACTCTAAAAGTATGTTAAGTCGTCAGTTGGAATTTTGGCTTTTATTCGCAAAACGATTTGATCCGAGTGGGTGTATTAGCCACTGCCAGAACATATAAATATTTTCGGCTATAATTAATCCCCGCCTAGTTAATGTCGTAAAACTAGTGAATTTTCGGGAGTAAATAGTCCTTAACGGCATCAACAGCCGAGTTGTTCAAACATTTCTGTTTGTTTTATTGCAGAAAATCCTTGACCTGCGCCACTGTCTAGGCATCTCCTTATACATAAATCGGTTAACTATTTGCCATGTTTAGATTCGCTTATCTAGCAATGCACATTTTTTTCCAAAGTTCATGAAGGTCTTCAAAGTGCGACACTTAATTTGTCCTGAGTTTCTAATTGAATCAGCTCGGTGAATCAGCACTTTATCGGTTCGGTCACGCATAATGTTCGCAATTATAAACGTTGAAAACACCGCAGCACTAAATCGTATTTGAAAATGATGAGTTGTCGATTTTGTGCTAAAATTAGACAATTGTATGTAGATTATCAAATGTCCGGTTGGTGCTCGGATGTTTCAAAATGTAGATTGCAGTAAATTAAATAATCTGATCACTGCAAAAAATGTGATTCGTTACAATCGTTTAACCGATTGGATTTTTGCGCTTCGGCTCATCTTTTTCCAGAGCAAAATATTGCGCTTAATGTCCGATTTTTAAAGCTTTTAAGACCTCTGCATTCTCCCATCATCTATTCGAGAGGTCTGTGAGGTAACAGAGTGTAACGCGAAACGATCGCCGTTCTACTGTCGAATGAATCGCGATGTTTGAACACCTTTAATAATCACATATCGTTTATAAATAGAAGGAAATTATCACGTATCTTGATGGAGGGACTCCAAACCGGTTTAAGAATGGGGAAACACGTGATTTACATTAATTATGTAACTATTAATTTAACGGATTCCGTTTAGAATACTGCCAGCACTGTTTTATGCCATAATTTAGTGAATGCCACAATATCTGGAGGGCTCAGTTACATTTTCCTTGTTGGCCGACTTCCAAAGAAAGGATTGTTCAATAAATGCAAAAATCATTCTATCTAAAATCTGAAACTAATGGGTTTTTAGGCCGTCGTTCGGTAGATCTTCAGAAGTGCTTGAGCACAGCGTAAGCGTTCAGTAAGTAAGCGATTTTCTCGCTAAGTACGCATACTGTAGGGTAAGAGCAGCTTTCCTACAGTACTTCAGCGGGTCAATTATTGTAGAAATGTCTGCTGCAATCCATTTGAAAACAGCACTGATTTTATTTACATTTTATTAGGACTAGTAAAACACTATATGTTTGAAATTTTGTCGATATGAGATTTAAGTGTATCGCTTATTTAAGTTCAAATGCGTACATTTTATGATTTTACGAATATGGTTAATTGATATACACGTTGGTATGGTGCTGTTC